ATCTATCTATCTATCTATCTATCTATCTATCTATCTATCTATCTATCTATCCATCTATCCATCTATTCGTCTATCCGTCCACCTGTTCACCTGTGGTCCATTGGACGTGGACTGATCCGTATCTGTTGGACAAAGGCAGCAAACAGAGTCATTAGTTGAGTTGGAGCTCGTTCAGAATGTTCTGCCGGCGTGTTCTGCTGATGAGGACCACGTCTCGCTCCATTAGTCCCTGAATCATTAACGCAGCTCTCCGGAAACCTCCGTCCACCCGTGCAGTCTGTGTGTACCGAGGGGGTCGGTGGTCAGGTCCAGCTGCTGGTTCAGGGTTTACACTGAGGTCTGAGCTTTGGAACCACAGGTTCGACACCAGGAGCTGTACTTCACACCCAGACTGTTATTCACCATCGTCATCATCATCATCATCATCATCATCAATCATTATTTAGATTAATGCAGAGTCAGGATTTTTTTTGTCCAAACTGCTTTGATCTACTTTAGCTGTTGAATCAAAATGTTCGGCTCTTTCAGCAGATTGCTGCTCTGACTCGTGATATTTGTAACTTTATTTATGTTTAGAAATAAATGGTGATCTCTTAAGATAAGAAAAGATAGAACGTTATTGATCCTGCAGAAAATTGTCAGTTCCTTCAGAAACGTTCATTTCAGCTGCTGCTCTGTTTGTCTTCATATGCTGCTTTTAGCTTTTAGCTAATCTTCAGCTTTTTCAAGCCTTCGTGTCTCAGTTTGAGCTGCTTCAGATGTTTTCAGAAAACGTCTTTAAGCTTCACATTCATGCTGCGTTTTAATTTCCTCTTTATAAAATTATTATTTAGAATAAATTCCTGCTTTTGTTTGCAAATAACAGAATACAGTTTATTATTTTTAATCTCTTGTCCTCCACAGATTCCTGGTTTTGTTCTGATCCGGTCAGCTTTCAATAATTTGCTCGTCGAAGGTCAAAGTGTTTGATGATAATCTCTGTAAACTTCCTCCGGTCCGGGCCAGAACTTCTGACCCGTTCACGATAATTTAACTAAACTTCAGACGCTGCTGCATCCGCACCAGACGGAGGGTCGTGTGCACTCTTCATTGCTGCAGCTCCAACGTCAAGGTCACAAGCCAAGGTCAGAGTTGGAACGAGGTCGCTGCTCATCGGGGCGGGCGGTGGGCGTTTGATTCGCCGTGTTCTCCTTTTTATTTTATTCCTTCCTTTGATCTTTCTTACATCCTGATGTTTCCTGAGATTACTCCTCAACATGAAATGATTCAATCTAGTATTTTATTCCTGGTTGGATCAGAAGCACCTTCATCCTCATCTTCTGTGGTCCGGTTCTGGTCTGGTTCTGGTCCAAATGGTTCTCCTCTGCCTTTCAGCTCGTCTGTAAATAATTGATCAGGACTCATTGAGATAGAACCACAGAATGAAACCCAACCTTGGTCTGCAGAGGAGGAGGAGGAAGATGATGGTGGTGATGATGAGGAGGAGGACGTGCTCCTCTTCATCATCTCTCTGAACTTTTTGAAGATGAAGACAAATATTAAAAACAAAAACAAATAAAATATTACATTTAAAAGATTTCATCTTCCTGTTTGATCAAATGAGGCCAACACTTCTACAGAGAATGAATAAACTGATGAAGAGCAAACGAAGGAGAACAAAGAAACGACTCCATCAAAGAACCGAATAATAAAATAAACGAGGATAAAAAGTGTTAAAAAATTATAAACAGAATAAAAATGATTAAAGTTTAAATCAAATTAAAACTCACCATTTTCCCTTTTCTGCTGCTCGTTCTGTGTCCGACCTGGAAACATCTTCCTCCCCCTCCTCCTCCTCCTGCTCATCATCATCATCATCACTTTGCATCAGACTGGGAGCTGAAAAGTCCCAGCTTCAGTGAACACAACATGAGTTGATAAAAATAAACTGTATCAAATCAAACAATAAAATGTCCAGGACACAGTGCGGGTTCTGGTGTGTCTGATCTGGACTCCGGTTCTTGTCCAGAACCTCCATTGGTCCTGGTGGATGGACCTCTGTCAGATCTGAGAAATAAAAATGACAGTTTTTTCAATCTGGACGCGTTTCTTGTTTTATCACAGATTTAAAGGTTTTTCTGGATAATCTTCTGTAGAAAATCTACAGAAATTAGATGAAAACCACAAAATAACAAAATAAAATTCCTCCAATTCTTCTGAAGTTTTGTATTTTTTTTCTTTGATATCTTTAAGATTTAAGTTTAAGTTTAAATCATTACAAAAACAATAAAATAACCATTTATAATCCAAGAATCTTCAATTATTCTTCAAATGAACGTCCCCACCTCCATTTGTCTCTGTCTCATCGTCCTCTGTCCCACCAACCCTCTACAGGTCATCCTTCACCACTTCCATCCACCTTCTCTGTAACGTCCAACATGTCCACTGTCTTCTGCTCCTCCCTGAATTCTACTGTCCAACATGTCCACTGTCTCCTCCTCCTATCTGAGTTCTACTGTCCAACATGTCCACTGTCTTCTGCTCCTCCCTGAATTCTATTGTCCAACATGTCCACTGTCTCCTCCTCCTCCCTGAATTCTACTGTC